ATGCAATATTTATGTCTTATTTTGACCCGCTCAATCAAATGGTGATGTCTTTAAAGGCAATGCACTCGAAATAAGTTACGGAGTTGAATGTTACCCTGCATGACCTGCCTCCACCAGCTTCGTAATCTGAGTGACTTTGACCTGGCCATGGGCTGAAATCAACTGGCTAAGTTGACCTTCCCCACTTTCCCCAAATGACGTACAGTAGAGCATGATAAACATGATCTGAGCTAAAATCTTCCTTTTAAATACGGTCATTAGGGAAGAGCTATAAAAAGACGCCATTCTGAAATCTGAGGGTCTTTGAGGTGACATTAGAGATCATCGGCCAGCCATTGACCTGATTTCAATTAGTTCCGTCACCGAGGTCAATTAGGGGTAAAATCACACGCGGAATTGGCAAGGGGCAAGGGGGTACCCTCCCCTCCCTTCTGTGGCCCAGGTATATGCATTATGCAATGGACGTAGGCGTTGTGAGAAGAGGGTACGGTGTCGACGCCTATGGATTGCGGACAATACTGGTAGTTTAGTGGTCATCCACCAGAGCGCGAAATAGCCTTATGCTAGGTGTCGCTATAGTCGCTACCTCCCAGTCCAGTCAGACGTGCAAGGTGCATTTCGGTCTATTCTAGTGTTACGACTTATGGAACTATTTCAGGACGATAGACAAATGACAGGCAGGGGTTGGACAGTGGAAGAGCTAGCTTACCATTTGAGTGATTTGCTTCCGATAGTAAACAATTTGTTATGTTAGCTAGGCATTTACTTACAGTTACACTTACACACATCACATGACACAGATGTGCCAGTACCGAGCGCCGACCCGAGCCAAAATCGCTGACAGCGCCACAACAGTCAAAATGAATAGTACACCGAGGGACCGGTAGGCGGCGTCAGCCACCACAGACATTCGGTCGTCTCCACCGACCGACAGCCAGAGCCTCCACGCGCTCCACACCAGGCTCGGCACCGCTAAAATTATGCAGCCTGGAAACGCAGAGGTCATCACAGACGATGATGGCTGCGCCGCCCGGCCACGGCGGTCTCCCGGTCGGTCACACCGGTGCAGCTTGTATCTTGTACCCAAATCCCACTAATACGAGGAGCACGGCGTCCAGTGCATGCAATAGCCTAATCCCTTGCTATAGTTACACTGCAATCGATACACCTCATTCAGTCTCGGTGGTAGGTATGTCCGTCGAGTACAGGCGGCCGGCGGCCTGTGTCTGCCGATCAGCTTTTGCTTCCTGACATTACCTACCAGGCAGAGCTCAACCAGGACTCTGCCCCTGAGCACCAACTAGTTCAATCAACATTTGCCGCAGTGGGGCAATTTTCGTCCAATCTCGATCCCTCAGTCGACAGTCTAAACTAAGCCCTTGCAGGCTGAGAGGTTCTGCGTGAGGGTTCTCGGGGTGCTGAATAGCATGTTAGCTTAGTTCACAGATGATGTCTTTATGCATTTAGGCCAGGTCGGGTCAGGTCAGGTCAGGTCAACCAGAAGGGCTCCTGCCGGGTATTCGCAGTACGTGTCAACCGCCTCTGACAGCTTTGTAACATGTTATGAAGATACCAAAATTACTTCGTAAATGTTTAAATGGTTGCTAAATTCGAATTCAGCTCCAAAAACTAGCCTAGAAATATGCAAAACTCGAAAAAGTGAACCAAGGTCATCAAAGGTCATTGACCTGACCTGACCTTCATGTGACCTTGACATCCACCCTAATGCACCCTAATGCAAACATCAAATCACATGTCTGAACGCCTGAAACCACGACAAGACTGCAAATGCGTGGCAAATACGAGCCGACATATGCGCCGACTGAATCGCGATTGCGGCCAAACATGGTCTCAAAAAGTAGGTCACAGGTCAAAGGTCATTCGGGTCAGGGTCATGAAATTTTTAGGATAGATGTAAAATTTATAAACGCGAGGGTACTGAAAGTTTCGTTGCGATCGGCCGCTTTTTACGCGAGTTATTTGCGAAAAAAAAACTTAGGGGCTAATTGCATCACCCCCTGTGCCGGCGAGGGTTAACCCGCGCCCCACTGGGGTCTGCCGAGCAACGCACCCTGCTGGGGGGGGCAATTTTCCCCCCCTAAGATCTCAAGAACAACGCAAGATAGCGACAAGCGGCAAACGGTGTTGGATAGCCCTACCAGGGAACTACCTTGTGACCCAATTTCATTGACCTAGGTCAAACCGATGACGTCACAGGTCAGGTCAAATGTCGAGTTTTCACCGTTTCAAGAAATGCGTTGTAAAATCGATTAAAATGCATTTCATTGAAAATCATCGGTGGGGAAATGTTCGTCAAACACATATTCTGCTATTTGAGGTCACTGGTACCAGGTCAGGTCACAGAGGTCAGGTCACTGAGGGTAACAATATGAAAATATCATGTGATGCACGTTTATGGTCCATTTTATATGCCAAACACGATTATATGGGTCAGGCAGCCTTTGGGGCCAGGTTAGATATTATGTTCTGGAGAAGGTCAGGTCAAGGTCAGGTCAAGGTCAGGTCAAATTTCAAAGTTGATATTTTTGCATAAATTGGGTATCGATTCGATGCAGCTCGTCACAAGGAGTTCAATTGTGGTCGTTGTTTTGCACTACGTGGTCTAGAATTCCCAAACATTGAGTTAAAAAATTTGACGTCATAAATTTTGAACAGTTTTTTATATAGCTTGGCCAAAAAAGGAGGTATCGATCTAGACTTTTGGTATGTAGATAGAAGAGGGTAGGGACTACCACATATATTCCGCTTTTTTCGATATTCGCAAAATTTTTGGTTTTTTGTTGCGTTTTTCTAAAAAATCATTTTTTTGAATTTTGGGGGGTCAAAATTCAACAATTTTGAAAATCCGAGATAACAATTTTGTAGCGCCGTCTTTTATCTACATGACCATATAAAGAACTGTGAAATTGCTTGATAACTGTAGCTTTTGTGAGCGTTTCAAGATTTCATGTTTTTTGCTCATTTTTGCTCGAACATGACCTCAGTTTGACCTCAATAACTCCTGACCTAAGGTGACCCAAGATTTGAAATTTTGGAAGGTGTCAAATTGATGCCCGGGAAGGTACTGAAAATTTGGCGGCGCTGCATGCGCGCCGCCGTTTTCTTGCTATTCAGGAAAAAAACACAGGGGGCCAAATTGCCCTCCCCCCAGCGGGGCGAGGGTTACCCTATAAGTGGCAGGCTCCTGGCTACCCCTATTAGTGGCAGGGGGGCTGTTTACGACCCCCCCCCTTGATATCTCGAGATCTAACGGGCCGATTTTCAAAATTCAAACGGCATTCGATTTCGCTCAACGTGATCTACATTTCTAAAAAATAAAAATTAAAAATGTCAATAGGGGGGGGGGGTAGAGGGGGGTAAAAACGGGCAAATTGCAGATACATTTTAGACTGTTTATCACGGCCAGGTTTCTGAACCAATCTTAACGCAACTTTTGCCGATCGATAGAGAATGAACCAGGAATTCACATGGATCCTAAAAATATGCATTTTCAAAAATCATAGGCGGATACAGATCATTGAGATTGGGGGTACACAAAAAGTATAGTAAATAAGGTTTTTGTTGGTACTGTTTCTAAAAAGGGTGGCAATGGTCTTGTTATGTTACAATTTTCTTATGAGAAAACGACTACAATTGCATTGGTCATGCATAGGCGGTGTCAGGGCACCTATGTTGGGAGGTAAAACATAACCCTCCTTTTTGGACGCCTGGATCCGCCTATTATAGTAAAAACGTGTCAAAAGAGGATGCACAATAACTTTGTATATGTTATCACATGATACCTTTCATTCAATGTTCGTTAAACTGGTGTATACAGTTATAATACATCAGAATCGTGATCTTCACCCCAAATGACTCGCTTCACGAATAGGACCCCCCAATTCCCAGTGCTCTGGAGCCGCCCCTGGTAAAGGTATGAACTTGAAATTTTCAGGAAATGTGCCCAATTTAGTTTTAGGAAAAGTCAGAAAATTTCAGCATCGTAGCTTCAGCGGTTTCGGAGATATTCCCGAAAAACCTGAGGGGTGGATAAAAACAACCCCCCCCCCTGCCACTAATAGGGTTAATACAAATGTTGTCACCGCTCATTCATATTTATAGTCACCGTGCGCTCATTTTTTTTGGGGGGGGGGGGGGGGGCTTCCGCCACCAGTGCTATGTAAGGTCGATAGGCAGGTGCTTAAAACAGCTTTATCCTGAGCCTGCTCAGTCAGGTGGGATGAGCGGCTTTCAGTCTGACCGTCATGACTAGAGATGTCAATCGGATACCAACTTTTTGGCATACCGATACCAAACCGATACCAGCTTGGTATTTGGTATTTCAATCCTGATGTGTTTGGTATTTTGTTGGTATTATGAATCCCGACTAATGTAAAAGAGGCTGCTAATTTGGTAAAAAGTTGGTATATTTCTCATTTTGATTTTCCATAGTCGGTTCGGTTTCGGTATTTTCTCATGGTTATTGTTGGTATTTGGTTTGGTATCGGTATCACGATTTTCCGTAATTGACATTTGACATCACTAGTCATGACCTGTCCCGTGACCTCAAAATAAGAATTGCAAGTATGTTTTGACTTTAGATTTATGTCGGCAATTTCATTCCGATCTCACCTAGCACCTATGACCACATTTTCAAAATACAAAGACAATCTAAGGTCAACCCCAATCCCCCCCCCCCCCACCCCAGCCGCCACAATCAATTTGCTGTTCGGCTGAAGGCTCCTCAGTCGGGTGAGTGTTTAGAGAAACGCCATGTCAACACAGCCAACTGGTCGATGGGGCCGTTGCCATGGCGTTTTTCTGCGTCAAGTTGCCGTTTTTGCCTGTCTGGGGCACGCTTTTTCGCCCCCGGCAGCCTTTTTCTCCCGACCAAGATCGCCACACAACACTCGGTCTGTCTGGCCGCCTGGTGGCAGACAGGCGAACTACCCAGTCGGCGGCGGCGGCGGCGGCGGCGGCGGGGCGGCGCGGGGCGGGGCGGGGATGGTCGGCCGGCTGTCGGCGGCGGGCAGTGGCGGCTGCGCCGGCCCTGCTGGCGGCGGCGGCGCGCGGACGGGACGGGTGCTCCGCTGGCTCGGACGTCGATGGACCGCCGGCCCGTCCACGATGAGTGCCCGCCGCCACTATGAGCGGGGAGCTGCCGCGGCCCACCTCGAACCTGACTGGCACTGTGCTGCTCAGCCCGCCCGACTGGCCGTCCCCCTCCGGTGAGTGCTGCCCCAGTCGACCTGACCCGGCCCTGGGACGGAGATGATGCTGGGGGGGCGGGAGTGGGACTACAGAACCGGGCACTGTGACCCTCAGTGTAGTCTGTCACCTCTACTAGACTTCGTTACTTCATTTCCAGAACGCGTTGCTTCACTTACAGGTGTCTCAAGTCCAGGGTTGTGCTTGACTCATGAGTCGAGTCAGAAATTTGACTCAACTCTGACTCAAATGAGTCAGATTTGAGTCGAGTCGGATAAAATGTTGAGCTGTTGAGTTGAGTCAGAGTTGAGTCGGACAAAAATATTAAGGTGTTGAGTTGAGTCAGAGTTGAGTCAGTAAAATAACTTTTGACATTGAGCTGAGTCAAGCATTTAGGAACATGAGTCAGCTGACTCAACTCTCTAGAAACAATTTATAATATAAGCTTTTCACCCCCCCCCCCCCCCGCTTAATAACTTAGCCCTTGCCCTGCTGCCTGATTTTTTTTCACCCCCCCCCCCCCGCTCAACAACTTTTTTTATCTGAGTCAATTTTGAGTCAACTCACTTGACTCAACAAAAAATTTGAGTCAAGTTTGAGTCGACTCACATTTTCATTGAGCCGCTTGAGTCATGAGTCGAATCAAGGGAAAAATCAGCTCCTTGTTTGAGTCAGAGTTGAGTCAGGGCTTTCTGAAGTTGAATGATGAGTCGAGTCGGCAAATTTTTTTGAGTCGAGCACAACCCTGCTCAAGTCGATAGCTGTAATATGCCACCGCTCCCTCATCACTCCCTGTGACCTCCTTCACTCCTTATCTGCTCCCCTGTATCCCCTGTACTCCCCGCTGTACCCACCTCCCTTTGGATATGTCCGAGCGCCTCCGTTCGCCACCAGACGGGCTCGTCTCGTCTGCAGCCGGCCGGCCGGCGCGCAGTTGCTTGTGTCCTTGGAGCGACTTTCCCGTGCCGGGCTGGGCAGGCAGCACCGACCCATGGGCCGCCACCACGGCTGCACGGTGGCCCGGCGAGGCTGTGGACACCGGCCGCGAGTGTGGAAACGTAGGTGGACTGACTGAGGTGGAGTGGGGACTGTGGGGTCTGAAATGGGGGCTGTGGATTGTCGGGATTGTGGAGTCTTGAGCGAGATGGAATGGGGAACGAGATGGACTGGGGACCGTGACTGGGAACTATGGACAAAGGACTATGGACTGTGGACTGAAGTAGAATGGGGACTGGACTGAGGGGACTGTGGACTGTGGACTAGACTGACGGATGTGGACTGTGAGGACTGTGGATCGAGGTGAAATGGGGACTGTAGATTGTGAACGGAGGTGGACCTTGGATCGTGGATTGTGATTGTAAATTGGACGGTGTCGGTCCGTGGACTATGGACAGAGACTAACTGTGGACTGTGGAACCAGGGCTAGAGGACACACTTAAGCTGTTAATCGGAGTTGGACCTCGGGCGCTGCGTGTGCCGAATATACCTACGCCTAAGTGCGGGATCTGTGATTTTATCATAGTGTCCATGAATCCAGCGGATTTCTGGTGAAAAGTTCTCAGATTAATTGATATCGTGGGATCTGGTGATCCGGAGGACAAAGATATTGCAGGATCTTGTGGATCTCCCAAAACCTTTTTTTTGAAGCCATGATCCCATGTGATTCCATGCCAAATTATAGTGCCACATAACTGTGGATTATGAATTTCGATTGTAATAGATCCAGTGAAAATTGCAACACTTTTTCTTATGAGACAAAATCACAGCAAGCTGTTAACAATATACATTTTTTATTCATTGTCCAATTTCTTACTCATGGAACACTCGTCACCGTTACTTTCGGATCCTTAGCTGAAGTTGATTTCTCGAACAAAAAGGAAGCTGATAAGGACGCTTAGCTTAATGATAATAGAACAAGGGAGCTGGATCTAGGATTCTCAGTACCCTGGATCAAAACCTGTGGAATTAGCCAAAACACTTTCTCACACATTATTAACCCGCGCCCCACTGGGGGGGGGGGCTATTTATAGCCCCCCCCCCTCCCGTTCTTCTGCAATAACTTCCAAACCGCTTGACGTATCGACGCCAAACTTTCAGTACCTTCGGCTGCATCAACTTGACACCTTGTGTCAAAATTTGAACTTCGTACCTACCATAGGTCGGCCGGAAATGACGTCAGAGTGACGTCATGTTCGGCCGATTTCGACGCAAAACATTGAACCACGGCAATCGCTCCCAAGAGCTCAGTTTTTAAGCTAGATCCAATTTCTTTGCATGAGAGGACGCAGAATAGACTGCGCTATCAAACTGCTATCTCGGATTTTCGAAGTTTTGAAAATTTCGAAAATTTTATACAATAAAATTCAAAAGATATATTTTTACATTTTTTCAAAAACTTTTTGACTTTTCGAAAAAAACCGGAATATATGTGACCAGTATAACGCCTTTTGGGGCGACTAACGGAGCGAGCGAGAGGGTGGGCCTTGCACGTGCGAAATTGCGAGGGGGTACCTCCAACTGACTTGTGCCCGGCACCCTACTAACCGGTCTCTAGCGATGTGCCAAATTTGGGCACAATCGGCCCAGCCGTTCTCGAGATCTGGAAGCGGCACCCTGCACGTGCGCACGTGCAAAATGGGTCCCAACTGACTTGTGCACGGCACCCTACTAACTGGTCCCTAACTGTGTACCAAATTTGAGCGCAATCGGTCGAGCCGTTCTCGAGATCTGGAAACGACCCCTGCACGTGCGCACGTGCAGCAGCACCCCAACTGTGGCACATGGATATGCAGTGCCTAGTAGGTGCCTACCTACATGCCAACTTTCAGCGCAATCGGCCAAGTAGTTACCGAGATATTGCAACAATTACAAAACGGACACCTCTTCGTTTTGCACGTGGCACGTGCATAAGGGGTCACCCACATGCATCAGGAATAGTCCTATACTTGGTAGAAGGAATGAAGCTACCCTACAAAAATTACCGCGTGTAAATCGGTCAAGTGGTTGCTGAGATATAAGCCTCCCAAAAGCGTGACCACGGCCGGCCGGCCGGCCGGCCGGCCGCTCATACTCAGAAATTTCCGTTAATCTAAGGAAAGACTACGCTCGCTTCGCTCGCTCCGTAATAAAACGCATCATTATGACTAACTCTAGCAAGTTTTTAGCTAAATACCTTCAAAAATGGCCAAGTTATACGCATTATTGCAAAAAATTAACAATTATTAATTTTTCAAATCAATTTTTCAGCACGAATTTGACATCGTACGCCAATATAAATAGCACCAACGTGTTCCTGAGCTCAAACTGCATCCAATAGGTACCTTTTTGGTTGAAAAATTTTAACTTCAAAATTTGACCTTTTTTGACCTGAAAGTGGCCTGACCTGAGCTAAATTTGACTCAAAATGACCTCAAATGACACAGACGACATCAAATTCGAAATGTTTGGCCTAAATGGACCATAAAACATGTGTCACGTGACCGACGGATGATATGATATTTTCGTGACCTGTGATGACCTGACCTTGACCTGAAAATCAAAGTACAAGTTTGGTACCCTCAGAGAATCTAGAGCATCTGTTCACGAGTGTGTGAACCAAAAATGAGCCTGATCTGACTTGTAAGACGGCGGCCAGAGCCCAAAACGTGAACAAGCCAAAATGCTAATAATTTTTACTTTGACCTGACCTGTGACGTCATCGGTGACCTCGAGGTCAATAAAATTAGGTTTCGCTCGACATTTTTTTCGGGGCTATCAGATGCCGTTTGAATTTTGACGATCGGCCCAGTAGTTCCGGAGTTAGGAGGGGGGGCTATGAATAGCCCCCCCCCCCAGTAGGGCGTGTTATACGCAGACCCCAGTGGGGCGCGGGTTAACCCGCACCGGGCCGGTGCACGTCGCCAACCGCGCCGGTCCGGGGAAGATGTTTGACCCCCCCCCCCCCTCCCGTTTAACTCGGCCCTTGGGCCACGCAGCGACGTGACACGGCACAAAGCGACCTTCAAAAGTATCAAAGAGCATGAGAAAGTTTCTTTGGTCAATGATTAGATCTGGGTCAAACGTTAGGTCACCAGAGGTCACCAACAGTCAAATTTCGCCTATTACAACACTTCTCGAAAATTCCATGCAAAACTTGGAAAGGGATAGAGGTAGAGCGCCGCTGGAAAAGGCATTTGATAGCTCTTATAAAGGTCTTTCTGGATGATATTCCCATATTCAACTCAAGGTCGACGGTTAAGCCCCAGAAGGCAAAAAATCGAACGTCGACGTTATTTTATAGCAAATAATTTTTTGCAGCAATAACTTTTGATATCAAGCTTGTATTAAATCGATTTTGACAGTATCGCGTTTCTCTCATCGAGGTATGTAAAAGCCAGTTAGAAAATTAAGTTTCACGACCGTTTATGCTTAAAGGGACTATCCCACCTTTAACATGGGGTTTGAGTTGAGATTAGCCAAGTTTGCGGCGAGGTTCAGAAACCACTATCTATCTAGGTTGCAACCCCCGCGGCCTCTTGGTGTTGAAGAAATTCGTTCCCTTCATTTGAAAATGGGCCTTGTACAAGGCCCTATCTTCAACATGGAGCGACCGTTAGTGTGACGTCACCTCGTTTAGTCATTCTGATTTAAATGGGTTTGTTCGTTGAATAATCGCTTAAAACTTGGTCTGAACTTTGTTGTGGTGCCTACAGAGTAAAAAGAATCAGCTTTATGACAGTAATGTGGCCTGGGGAAGGAGGTAATTTTGGGCTGTGACGTCACATATTTGAAAGTTTGTGATTGGAATATGGGAAGCCTAAGATGTTTAATGAAAAATAAATGCCAGAACCGTGTTCCTGGTCATCCAATCTATACAGTCAGGCACAATTTAACTGGTTTTAACAACATTTTAGAAGGTGGGATAGTCCCTTTAACGAAACTTGACTGTCCTAACTATGTTTAGCTTCGGGATGAGTACTCACAATATCCAGGAATCAAATAGTTCACTATTTCGAGTCACAATGCAACGTAGCCAAGAGGTGACACATGAAAGGAGCTACCATAAAACTACTTAAGATCCAACCAAGAACTCAATAAGATTTATAAAAGCTAATTAAGTCATTCGCGGTCGGCTGCCTGGAGGTTAGGCTGTTCCGGCTAACAGTTACGTAAGGCGGCGCAGTCTACGCTACAGGATTTCCTCTAATCGATCGTGAAATTCTTGGATTTACCGCCACTGAGTGATGGCTTTTGGCACTGGCGAGATTTCTCAATTTCGGCTTGCTGCTTATCGGGGAAAAATGAATGAAATCATTCAATAGCAAGTCGAAATAAAAAAAAAACAAAATAAAAGTTTTCGAGCGTAATTTAGGGAACTTCCAGGAACCGTCTCTCGGAAAGCCTGCAGCTTTCATGAGGACCAATGCTTCCAGCGTGGGCATACTTCTTATCAAAGAAAGGCTCCAGATTTATATTTGTTTCTTTCATGTATATTCTTATTCGAATAACAGTTAGAGGTCATCATAGCATCTGTCTTACGTTTTTCATCCATGCTATCTCTAACAAAAATGCACCAAAACATGCCTAATTCCCACGACAAATATAAGTTACATAGCAGCACAAAAATGCCGCCGTAGTTAGTGCTGAGTTCGGACGGTGCTGAACAGGGTAGGGGAGGGGGAGGGGTCGGTGCCGCGCGGTCTGCCCAGGTGGCCGGTTGACCTTTGACCTCTGACAGAGATTGCCCACTCCAGGCTGACTTCAGACCGGCTATCGACCGTTTTCTGTCTGGCCCGGCCGGTCGGTCGGCGCCTCAGCCCCGGCCCCGCACCCGTCGGCCGGCCACCGACCAGTCAGGTGCTATCGGGGAGGCGGTTGTTACCGGGGAGGTGTTACCGGGGGAGACGGTCAACTGTTACCAGTTTGTTCAGATGGCCAGTTGCTACTGAGGGGACACCGTTAGTTGTTACTTGGGGAGACGTTCAGGTGTTACTGGGAAGGGGAGACAGTCAGTTGTTACTGGGGAGGAGTCAGTTGTTACTGGGGAGGGAATACAGTCATGCTACGGGGGGGGGGGGGAGACGGTCAGTTGTCACTGGGGGGACATGATTTGTTGTTACTTGGGGAGACGGTCAGTTGTTGTTACTTGGGGAGACGGTCAGTTGTTGTTACTTGGGGAGACGGTCAGTTGTTGTCGGGGAGGTGAGACAGTCTGATGTTACCGGGGATACGGTCAAATGGTACCGAGGCCGGTAGACGGTCAGTTGTTATCGGGGAAGAGAGACGGTTACTGGTAACCGGGGAGAGAAGACGGTCAGTTGTTACCAGGGAGCGATGACGGATAGTTGTCACCGAGGAGACGGTCAATTGTTACCGGTAAAGGGATACAGGTCAGGTGTTACCGCTACTGAAGAGGGAAGAGCTAGATGGTTAGTTGTTTCGAGACACGGTCGGTATTACGGTGGAGGAAGCCAGGTAGGTGTTTCCGGGAAGGTGATGCCGGGGGAGGGGAGACGGACAATACAAACCTGGGTAACGGTCTGTGCTACCGGGATGAGGGGGACGATTGTTACCGGGAGGGGGATAGACAGCATGCGTCCGGGGGAGGGGGACCGGACGGTATGTTACTAACGAGAGAAGATGGTTTATTACACGAGTGGTCAACGGAATGTTTCTGGGATGGAAAAATAGCTGGTAACGATACATTATGTTGTCCTTTCTGTTCACGTTACGGTATGTTATAATAGTGAAGTGGATAAGTGCACAACGTTCAATTCTCAGTCCCTTTAAATCAAATCAAGAGCTGAAGGTTGAACAATGAACAATCACTTCATGCTAATTACACTAATGGTTTAGGGATGTTCTCATTTAGACACTGCACGGTGCACAGTTAAATCTATTTTATTTCATTTGTTCACTTATTTCAGCAGTTTGGCACCACGGACAAGGATTATATATTTTACGGTTAATGTGTATGAAACCTGTTTTAAACCACAATCTATCAGGACGCGCTGTTGAATTCCTGTGAAACAGCGGCAACTTTACTGCCGAACATAGCTTCTAAGTGCAGCGAATAGCGGAATAATGTCCATAAAAACAAACCAGCTTTACCCCTTCACCACCATTAAACGGAATGAAACAGGCCTGGAAAATTGTGTCTTTCTCATATGATGCGGTCCTGCTGCCATAGTTCCGGAACTCATCAGGATATATGATGACCCATTGCATTGTCACGCACAGAAACTCATCAAGCCGATGCACAAAAAATAGCAACAGACATGTCAAAAATACCGGAAATAATAGCAGGTTAACTGCAGCAGTGTTACCTTACTCCACGAATAGCTTTTTCGTAAGGGTACTGAGTAAAACATGCTCGTCTGTTTTATGAGCCCGCGTGTGCAATTCGTTTATCCAAAAATAATTCCTAACTGTCCGCAGATTTGTTATCTATTTTCATGCATCGGTGTTTTGGGCGAGAAAATGAACCCTACTTCGGCGACCTTACCACACCATTGTCACTTGTTGGTGTGTTAGCAGACACATCCACAAGCAGTGGATGTCAATACCAGACCCGCGGCCGCAACCCACCCAACCTAGGCATTGTACCCTGGTCTGGTCTTGTGTGACCTTGTTTGGTCTGGTCTTTCTGGATACAGACTAGCCTAGCTCATATTACTACAGGACAGTCCGGCACCTGACTACAGGACTATTTCACTCATCCTGATCTACTCCGGTCTGGTCTGGTCTCTCCCGCTCTGGTCTGGTCTGGTCTGGTCTCTGCCGTTCTGGCTCAGATTACAACAGACCCTCTAGGCACCTGATCTGGCCCACCATCAACCGACCATCCGACATATCTCCCGCCATCCGGGCTGCACAGTGCACACAGCTGACAAGGCCGCCCATGGGACACACCCTCTCCTACACCTATCCGTGCTTCTATCCTCAGGATACTGAAATCCTTCTCCTCCACGCCGCAACCCCCTCCGGGCTGGACAGGCAACTTTATCTCATGCGGGCTGCTCCCTTGGAGCGGCACCGCTGCTCCTGAGGGAGCGCACCCCGTAGCCGGGTGCAGTGAGTGCCTTGGGGCTGGGTGGCCTGTCCTCTGGACGGGCTCAGCCCCGGCGACTCACTAGGGTGCCTGCCCAGACCAATGTCTCCCCCTAATTCCTATCATCCTTCCGGCTCTGCAATGGTCTTGTCGACCGAAAGGGCCTAACCCAACAAAACAAAACAAAACAAAACCCTCTCCTTAGCGACGGTGGCGCCGCCAGTCGCCAGCGGCAGCTGTGCGAACTAACAGCAGATGCAAGCAGGCATGGCATTTCAAAACACAAAGTTTTAGGTTAACTTAACAATTGTCCTAACTCAGTCTTCAGTGGCTAGGTTGATTGACGGCTGTCTACCATTTGACGACTGTTTTTGACAATTGCATTGTATGACGACTGTCAGGATCAGCTGTGTTGTCTGACGCCCGTCTGCGCCGACTGAACTGTCTGACGACTGTCTGTTACCGTCTGCGCCGACTGTCTGGTCTGAACTCTGACGTCTCTCCGTTTCGCTCCGTTTCAGTGTCTGTCGCCGCCATCCTGGTAATGGCTGTGCTTCTGGCTGTGCTCTGTGTGTGTCTGCTGGGTCCGCGCCTGCTGCGACTGGCCGCCGACCTCTGCCCCTGTGACCTGCCGATGCCGCTGGCGCCCTCCGGAGCACACATTCCAAGTGGCTGCCGACGGTCTCAGGTGAGACATTCCAAATACATTCCAAGCGGCCTGCGAAGGTCCTATAGTATAGGTGAACCATTCCGTGCAACTGCCGATATTCTCATGTGAGCCATTCCGTACTTATTCCATACGGCTGCCAACGGCTCCAGGTGAACCATTCCATGCAGCTGCCGACCGTCCAAGTGAGCCATTCCAAACGCATTCCAAACAGGTGCTGAAGGCACCTGGTAGTCAAACAGCTACCGACGGTCCCACGTGAGCCATTCCAAACACATTCCAAGCGGCTGCCGGCGGTCCCAGGTGAGCCATTCCGCACACATTCCAAGCGGGTGCCGACAGTCCCAGGTGAGCCACTCCGTGCATCTGCCAATGGTCCCAGCCCCCAGGTGAGCCATTCGGACACATTCCGTAATTACAGCTGCCGACGGTCCTACTGAACCATTCCGTACACTTTCCTAAATAATGCCAACGGTCCCAGGTGCGCCATTCCGTATACATTCCGTGCTTCTGCCGACGGTCCCAAGCGAACCAGTTATAGGTTACTGCCCTCCGGCGAAGCCTCTGACGGTCATTGCGCTAGCCGCTTGGTTATTTCAAACGACAGTAGTCAGTCCCGGGTAAGTCCCTGATGCAATCTCCGTTTCTATTTCCAGTTCTTTACTGGTCTTTTCGTCGTTTCGTCTGCTCTTTTCTTCGCATTGGTCTAAGTATATGCCCTGTTCTAGACCGCTAAAATCAATGCATTTTGTCACTGTCATGACCAGACTAGTTAGATGTTGGAGCCATTTAAAAAGATTATAAAACAAGCGAACCAAAACAAATTAATCGTAGAGGATAGCTGAGTTGTCAGCATCTCACTGCCGTCCACGACCGATCAGTGGGGTCGACCAAACAACCACAGTGGCTCCCCTCCAGCCAGACAAAAACACAGACAGCCGTGACGTCAGAGAGACGTACTGACGCAGCCAACAAATCCAAACGCAGCGCCACAAGCTAGGTATTTCTCCGCCGCCGCCGCGCCGGTCGCGCCTCACACCGCGCCGGTCGCTATGCATGTTACATTATTTGCAGACAGATGGCCTGTTCGATGCGCCGCAGGTGGCGGCGGAGGCCACTTCCAGCGCGGAAACAGGCCGCACCGGCCGGCGGCTGGTCGACCCCTCCCCCTCCCCGTGACCCCCGCGACTCCTCCCCGTGACCCCGGACCGACGACGAGGTCGGCGCGTGCCTCACCCGGACTGTGTATGTCCGGCTTTGTTGTCCGAGTGCCACCAGCGGCAGACGGATCGAGCGCCGGCAGGGCTGGGGACTGGTAGCTGGGGACGGGCGGCGGCGGCTGGGGACGGCCGGCGGCGGCTGGGGACGGGCGCCGACGGCCGACTGACCGGGGACGGGGGACGGGGGACGGGGGGGGGGGGGGCTCCAGGTGCCGCCTGTCGCCGACGACGTGTGGTGACGTCAAATTAGAGGGCCGATTGAAGGTCCCGCTGATTGGACGCGACGAGTGCAGTTTAGACGCGAGGGGCCGCTCGTTCTGCCGGGTTTATTAGCGGCACAAATGGTAGCGATTGGTGGTCACCAGCAGTATTTCATTGGGAAGAGTGCACATCGTGACGCTGTATGCACTATCGCTAACTGATTGGCTTCATAGACAGCGACTGTCATTAATGAACTGATTGGATAAAGCAAAACGATTTTTATGATACCCAAACGCATTGATCTAGAAAGGCACGAGATGGAATCGCAGTGAGCGGACATAAAAAGATCAATTAGCATATCATGCATGGGCAGGCAGAATAGAAGACGGACGGTTTACTTCAACAGTTGCCAAAGGGTGAGGACTCTAATACGGTAGGGGAAGTTGGGGGAACGCCGAATACTTTTTTCTGACGCCCGTAGCACGCAAGGTAGACAATATAAGCTATTCTTGTTGGCGTCATTCGAGAGGCCAGTCTTTTGCCTTTCAAACATACCAGGCGCATTTGATGAATTCGCATACCGTTAAGCGCACAAACTAAAAATATCAAAGAAGTGACTTTTTCGGCGTTGCCCCGGACTGCGGGGAAAGCCGAAAATGGGAGAAATGATCTACGGGGAATGCCGACATTGATGTTTTGCCACTTTATCTCAAACTTTATCCAGAATTTATCAAAGCTGACACGCGTTTTAAGAGCTTGAGGACGCTTGGTGCACACTGGAAGTTATAATTGTGTGATATAGTAAGAAAATGCCAGGTAAATAATTCCTTATAGGTAACAGGCCGTTGTGTCGGTTGAAAGTGTAATTTGTGTGACTAAAAATTCGCATTGCTATTCTACAGCAGTAAAGTCCACGTAGCGTGCTTTAACGTGCGTAATTGCAAGTTTTCGGCATTACCCCAGCCAGCCATATTTTCATTTGCAGGCCCATAACTTTTCAACGTGCCGTATAAATTTCAAATGGGCAGCACACTATGCAAAGACATGCTAAAGATTACTTGACCGAATTGGCCGCCAGACAAACGGTAGCATAGCCATAATGAGTAAGAAATGCAGCTTCAAAGGCGCATGTAGTACAAGGAACGCGTACCTTGAAAACGCTCTTGGCGCCCTCACAGCCGAAGTATTCCGAATGACGACTCGTAACAAACATGCGATAATTGTAGTCACTTAAAGGGACCCTCCCACCTTCAAAAAAGTTAATGAATTGGCATGAAAGTGATGTCGCTCGGTTCAGAAAGAGCAAAAACGAATATCTACCAAATTTCATCGAAAAATATTCACCGGTTTTCAAGATATTAGACTTTTACTTTTGTTTACTTTTTGGGATCTCCGCTGTTCCTAGCGACTTTATTTGAAAGTGCGGCATTTGTTGCGCGCAAAGCAGCATATACCACCGCGTGCTACAAAACGTTTTAGTCAAACATTTAACGGACGTTCGAAAGCCTGATGACGTCATCAGATTCCCGTAATGGTTAAGAGATAGGGACCACGCTGGTCCCACCCTGCAAGTAAAGGGAAGAAATTTCTTGAACACCATAAAGCTGCGGGGGTTGCGACCAGGATAAATGGTGGTTTCTGAGCCTGGCCGCAAACTTGGCTATCTCAACTCAAAACTAATGTTAAGGTGGGAGGGTCCCTTTAAGCTTCAGAGCATCACTGACAGGTGGCATCCATGTCTTACGGTTTTCGAAATATCTCGAATTTCGGCTTTGCCCCAACTCCGGCATTGCCCCAACTTCCCCTAGCATATATGTATCACAAATTGTGGGCGCGACTTCACAAACAATTATATTAAGGCAAACCCGTCATACACTGTCATTCCCGCGGCACATTAGTTTCGCCTTGCCTGGCTGACCCGCCTAGGGTCATTCAACGCCCCGGGCGGGTGGCGGACACGGGCGTGCCCAGGCGTCCCAGTACGGGGGGAGCGTTTACCACAAACAACGCAACAGACAGTCTTTTGGAAAATATTTTATCACAGCATTCCACTGTCCCATTGAAGAAATTATAACGCTGTTTTCTCATGCAACTTTGGTGCACCCTCTCCTCCCCATGCAACCAGCAGACATACTTTTGGAAGGTCGGGCCAGGTCAGTCAGCCGCCTGGCCTACCTTCAGACAACCGCTCACGTTTGGAGAGGGGCTGATGGGCCGTGGGCGGCGCGCATGGACAGTGCTCCCCGCGACCCACACCGTCCAGCCGCAGCGATCGAGCTCATTGGCTAGAGGCCGTCTAATTGTCGGGCCGTGCGGTAGCCGTTGAAATCGATGGCCGCCGCGCGGCGCCGGGCTCGTGCAGATGACTCCTGAACATGCCACGCGGCCCTCTGTCCGCCATATACCGGCGTCATCGTTCCCAGCAGTCGGGCATCGAGCAAACGGAGCTGGCTTTGTGGTCGAGCTCACCGGGCAATAGGTGCTTCGAGGAAGGTGCTTCAGCTTTGTAATGACATGGTCGTTTGTGGGGGCGCTCCTTAGTGTTTGTAGTTCCATGGAAAATGATCAGACATTTGAATACTGAAAACTAATGAGCCTACCGCAAATATCATTATGTTAGGTATGCCTTACCAAGTACATACATACGTTGCCTCCTGCAAACCTGTAATGTTTGTTTTGCGTCAGCGTCAGCCTTACCGCACTTTAGGGGTGTCGCATTCAGCTCTTTTTTGTTATCGGTGACCTGTGTGTTGTCGTTTTTTTTTTTTTTGCCTGTCTGGCCTATGTCTGTTGTCAGCTGTTTGTCTGACCTCTGTCTGCCCTGTCCGTCTGACCTCTGTCTGATATCTCTTCTGTCTGTCGGTCTATGCTGATTGTCTGTCTGTCTGTGTGTCTGTCTGTCTGTCTGTCTGTCTGTCTGTCTGTCTGTCTGTCTGCCTGGTTTGTCTTTCCGTCTGTCTTTCATTCTGTCTTTCAGTCTGTCTGTCTATGCTGTCTGTCCGTATGTGCTGTCTATGTATGCTGCCTGTCTGGCCTGTGTGTCAGACTTGTGTCTGCTGTCTGTCTATGCTGTCTGTATGGCCTATGTCTTCCCTCTATGCTGTCTGTCTGTCTGTCTGGCCTATGTCTACTGTCTAAGGCAAGCTGCCCTTCTGTCCTGTGTCTGCTGTCTACCTGTCAGTCTGGCCTGTGTCTGCTGTCTGTCCGTCTAGTCTATGTCAACTGTCTATGTCTGGCCTATGTCATACTGTCCGCCCCGTCAGGCCGTCAGTCTGGCCTGTGTCTACTGTCTACCTGTCAGTTTGGTCTGTGTCTACCCTGAGGCTGCCATCCGGTGGCTGGCAGTCACCCGGCCGCCTTTCCTGTCGGACCGGTGCCCTGTGCCAACAGCGTCTCGGCTAGCTGCCGTGCGGTGTCGGTGGGCTGCGCTCCTCCCTCCCTCTCTCCATCTCTCCCCTCTATCCCCCTGAGGAGTCGGGGTCTCCCCACCAGACAGATCGAACACCTGATCAATCCTCGGGGTGGCGTCTGCCCGTTTTTGCCGCTGAGGTACTGTGGCGACTGGCGGCCCTCAGAGACCGTCGAGGGTACTCGGAAGGTGCGGCGGCGGCGCCGGCGGAACTCAATTGGCGTCTGCCGTCTGCCCAAGGTTGTCTGAGGGCCGCCGCCGCCGCCGCCGAGTCCGAACAGCTGATGGCGACCGACCTGGCCCCTCCCCTCTCCGCCCCGCCCCTCTCCTCGCAGCCACCGCGCCGTCGGGGGCGAGGCTGCTCCGAAGGTGGAGCTGCTCCGAAGGTGCTGCTGTAGCTCGGTATGACAGGGAGACTGCTGGGGTGGAAGGGTGCCTGCTGTATGACCTAAGACCTGACCTCGATGACCTTACCTCTGTCACCTGACCTCAGTGACCCTTGCAGGTCGACCACGAGGCGCTGGAGGATTGAGAAATATATGATCTGTCAGATCTGTGACTTGTAGCCTGATCCTTGTGACCCGTAGCTTTGGCCGGCCGCAGTGCTTTGGAGAAGTGTCTTATATGTGTGAACTGTGACCTGACCTCTGACCCCTCCCAGGCTGACCGCGGTGCTCGGGAGGGCTGTCTGATGTGTGACCTGTGTGACCTGACCTCTGACCCCTCACAGGGTGACCGCGGTGCCCTGGAGAGGTGTCTGATGTGTGATCTGTGACCTGACCTCTGACCCCTATCACAGGCTGACCGCGGTGCCCTGGAGGGCAGTCTGATGTGTGACCTGTGATCTGACCTCTGTGACCTGACCTCTGACCCCCATCACAGGCTGACCGCGGTGCCCTGGAGGGCTGTCTGATGTGTGACCGTGGCGCGGCGGCGCTCACCGAGCAGCGGCGAACGTTGGCACTCTCTGCGCAGCGCGACTCCGAGCTGGGGCTGCCACCGGCGCTGCCACTGCCAGACGGAGAGGAATTCCCCCACTCCGTCAACCACATACATATCCGAACGGCGGAACAGGTGGGAAAGGGCGAGGAAGAAAGAGAGAGAGAGAGAGAGAGAGAGAGAGAGACAGAGAGAGAGAGAGAGAGAGAGAGAGAGAGAGAGAGAGAGAGAGAGAGAGAGAGAGAGAGAGAGAGAGAGAGAGAGAGAGAGAGAGAGAGAGAGAGAGAGAGAGAGAGAGAGGCAGATGGAAGGTAGAGAGGGAAAGAGAGAAGATGGAGGAAACGGGATGGGACGGTTCGTAAGAGATGAATAAATAGGCAGGTGAGAAGAGGTGGGTAGAGGGAATTCGTTCATGGATCTTCGCTGCCGTCAAACGTCAAATCTCACTTGACGTTTCATTTGTCATATCACAGAGCCACACTGCAACTGAAATTAGGTTGCAGCGTCGCTCGGTACCCACTACACACTGCCCCCCCCCCCCCCTCACCTGTCCCCGGCTGGCGGTGGTGCCACCCGCCCCGCCCCGGAGCGCCGCCCCCTCCCCCCCCCCTGTCGGCGTCTAGCAGCGCAGACGGCTGGCGACCTTGACGGAGTGTGATGGTTGGCGGCCCCGACTGACAGCTGCCGTCGGGATACTGGATACCGGGACCGGATCCGCCGCCGACGGGAGGGGGGCTGCGTCAGGTCGAGGGGAGGGGGGTAACGGGGTCGGGTTGTGAGAGTTGGCTGGGTGGTGAGGGAGTTATGAGTCCACTGAATGCAGGTGTGGTCGGTGAGATATAACCAGTGGCGTCATGTTGGTTATGTAGGACGTCTCATTGGCTGTGTGTTGATGAGTTGGCGGTGTCTGACGTCATACGTGGTGATGGTTGAACCCTGATTGGCTGTCGGTCTGTCTCTGACGTAACCCGCCGCCGTCTGTCGACAGGAGAAGGAGATTTACCAGGCATACATCCGACCGCCGCCAAACCGGACTATCGTCGGCCGGCAGCCGTCTCCGTCGGCCGTGACGTCACCGTCGACACCGACGGCAGCCGTGTGCGCCCGACGGCCGGCGGCGAGCGGTGCCAAGTCGCGCCCACTGACACTCGAGTCGTGCCAGCGGTGCGTGCCGGCTGTGAACACCCCCGAACTGACTGTGATCGTGCCCGTGGCCAGGACGGCCGTGCGAGCCGGCTCAGCGCCGCGTCCGCCCGAGAGACTCCCAGCTGTGCCGCCGCCCGGTGCCGAGCGGTCGCCGGCAGCGACTGTGGCGACATCTATAACTACATCAGTAACGCCACCTGTGACTCGCTCCAGCCGGCGACTGGCGACCGACCTGCCACCTGGCGGCGGGGTGAGGCCTGCGCGGAGGGCGTCCGGTCGGCTGGCGGCTCGGGCCGCCGCTGCTGCCGCTGGCCTCTTCTCTCGGCAGCGCTGACAGTGACCCCGCGGCATCCGTCAGCCGGCAGCCACCGTCTTTCATTGTTGTGTCCTCCATGTGGGCAGCACGCACACACGCACGCGTCGGTCGAGTCAACGGCACACGCACAACGCCGACCGGCGAATATCCGTTCTGCGTGAGGTACCGCGTTTGGGAAACGTGCGAGCGATTGTGAGAGTCGAGATTATGTGTCTGAATAACCGCGTCCGTGATAATTGCGCTCCAAAGTGGTCGCGAGAGGCTGATTTGAGTGCGTATCAGCGACGGATGTGATCGTCGTTTGATGCTGAGTGCCACGCACAATGTGATATCCATGTGCGGATGCATTGCGCGTTTGTTCGGTAGAGCGACTGTTTTAGCCTGCGGTCTGTATGGAGTGTCACTGGTTTGTGGTCATCGTGATTCGTGGTTTGTGGCTCGGTGTGACGTCTGTTGTCATGACTATGGTCTATATTCGGTGGTCCATGGCCTTTGGTCCATGGTGTTTGGTCCATGGTCTTTGGTCCATGGTCTTTGGTCCGTTGGCCCATGGTCCGGTACAGCCGTGACGCCGGCGTCCCTCGCTGTGCCAGCAGCAACGGCTGAATCCACGGCAGGGTCCCACCCGACCCTTCAACTGACCTGTCGAACGCCCTGGATTCGTTGGAACGGGCCGAGTCCGCAGCGGGGCCACGTCCGAACGAACCCTCACCTGACCTGTCGAACGCACACCTCAGATGTATGCATTTCATATATAAACGTTATTTATATGACTTATCTCTGGTCAGATGACAGATGTATGCTCAGCTGTATTGTGCATCAGTCATTGTAACATTTTCGCGACGAAACAAGCAGAGTTGGTTTGTAATAGTATATTTATCGCTTTCGAGCAGCCTTCTGCACCGTTCCAACCGAAACTGATCCACTAATTCTGACGATCCGACGCATAGATATCCTGCGCTGACGTCTCTAAGTATTATGCCTTAGTTCAAGGTCCCCTATTCGCTACAGCTACCTACGCCTACCAAGTATTAAATGGGGAAAATCCACAATGGGTCCAAGCCGGACGAGCACACACATCCATTGGATGTCAATTACCATTACATTGTTGAACTGAACTATGTCGTTTAGCATGAACCATTTAAAAGAAATTAACTTCATATTAAACTTCATATATCTTTCCAGATGATACGAACGACAAACTGTGGACTACCTACTGTCAAGTCAGGAATGGCCAGCGCGTGTAATTAAGCTGCCAGTGAAACACAAAAATTGAAACTACGCTGCGTCATCATGAACTGATACAGTTGAGCACACACGGGTCCGAAGAATCGGGCGTTGCCTAGTAAACACATACACATTACGCATGTAGGTAGTCTGATGCAGACGGTGACGAATGCCAACTGATCAGGGAATATGCTAGATACAAACTGTTACAAACGAACGGATTACCGAGACGAACCATTTTACAGCCTGAGCCATCTAAGTTTCAATAGTGATTCGATAAGTCAGCAAATTTTTTTGAGGCATGTTGAGAGTAGCTTCAGGAAATGCACCTTCTGGTGTAGCAATGTAGCATATAAGTATTTTTAATTTGACTTAGAGCCATGGGACCGGTAGACGTTCAGCGCGCCATTTATAACATCGAACAGACTCCTGGCGCCACCTATAACATGTTGAGCAGACTCCTGGCGCCACCTACAGTCCGGCCGGCGGGTCGTCGATGTGCGGCAGGGAGGTCCGGTCGCCCACAGAGCGGAGAGGCGGCAGCAGCATGGCACACTCCGCACAGCGGAGCTCCCTCCGGTCGACAGAGCGGTGCGGCGGCTGGGCTCCGAGCTTCTCCGCCATGAAATTGTCCTTGTAGAGTTTTCCGGCCAGGACTCCGCCCAGGATCGGTCCGACCCAGTACACCTGTTGGGGTGGGGGCGGATAACATCAGAGTGAGGGCCACTGAGAGTGAACACGCTGCACTTTAGTGAAACACTTCGCGGCACATCTATAGATGTGCCGCAGTATTTCCAGCTGTTAGTATACCTATATTACAAATCACTGGTTGCGCTTCAATTTTTATCATTATCACCTCCACGGTTTCGTTGCCTGCTTAGGTATGTTTTTCTTCTTCTTCAAAGCAATGAGTCCATAATGCACGAGCGTAACATAGTTACGATTTCCGATGTCAGTAGTGAAACAGGCGAGGAGGATAGGTATGAAGTTGGATAGTGGACACATAAGGATTCCTTATTAGGAAGTTGGCATTTGAATCTCACATCCACCACGTTTCGTCCTCCCATAACTAAAAAATAGTCCCTCCAAACACCCATCCTAGATTTGTTTTGATAGCACCTGTCCATCCATAACCGACAAGTCTGAAACCCTGTTGGACCGATATCACCACATCGACTTGTCGTGATTAATTCTCTTCAGTGTTCGGTGACCTTCGCTCCGCTCCAATCTCATCGTTTCTATTGGGAGTAGGAAGAACGTTCTGGTCCACACCACCATGGGTTAAACTGATTGAAGACAAGACACCGACAGCCAATCAGCGTATTGAATAGGCCCTTTATAGGGTGAATCATATAGCATCTGCTTTTTGTCGCCACTGTCGGATTTCATCATGAAATGTGTCGTCTCATCCACTTCCAAACTGAATTGCGATGCATAACCGTTTTCAATTTTGTTTAATGTGTGTCAATTGTCAAATGGTGCTTACATCACTAAATCACGTAATACGACACCACATAAAATATGTGTTAAATTTACCAAGCATGGTTATTGTCGGCTTGTTACCAAGCTAATCAAAGTAAGTGGCTAAGTTAAATGAAGTAATGCATGATAACATCCGGAACGTACGCGCCGCCCGCGTTCCGCGTGCGGCGCGGAACGAAAATTACTTGAAAATTAGCCCAAAGACATAGATGGAGTAACGGAAACACTCAGGCAAGACTGAGGGAAGAAGTTCACCCTTGGCATTTAATTCGAACTGAGATAGCAGCTTTGTACATCGTGCAAAATATATTTCTGAGCTCTTACATTTTTGAAACAGCTCCGATATCCAGATATTTTAGGCATAGATTCGCTGTTTGTAAATAAAGACGAACGAATTATTGCTGCGATTTAAAAATGGTATTCCAAAATAAGACCAGTAACTTAATTTCACCATAAAAACATTGAGCATCTTTAAAAGATGTTAGTTCAAGGGTGAACCACATCCCAGGCGTTAGTTAGAAGCATTTAGACGTTCCAGCCACATTCCATATAAATGATGCAGTCAACAACACAACAGAGCACTACTCGAAAATCAGGCAGTGCTGCGACCCAAGCCCGCTCCACAGCCAGCAGCAGCTTACGTTAGCGCTGCGGACTTGTCCGGGCGCCCCGGCAGATACCTGGCCGAGTCTAGGGCTCGTATTTCTCCGGCTTGCTCTCGTCCCCTGTCGAGCGAGGAGAGCCCAGACGGTCGGCGCGGAACGCCACCGAGTACAGAACGGCGGCCAGGAGGCCCCCCAGCAGCGGGCCCGCCCAGAACACCTGCCGAAGCCAGCGGAGGGTCCGTCAGAGCACGGAGCGGGCCGCCGGCACCAGCGAGCGGGCCCGCAGGGAATTAGAGAGCGGGCCCAGCCTCTGGCACAAAGGGTGAGCGGGCCCCGGCACCAAGGAGCAGGCACCGCCCCCCGGCACCAGCGAGCGGACCCCGCCCAGCCTGGCACAGGGGAGAGGGGGCCCGCCCCGGCACCAGCGCGCGGGCCCTGCTGTGGCACGGGCCCTGCTGTGGCACAGAGGAAACAGGGCTCGCCCCCGGCGCCGGCACCAAAAAGCGTGTCTCGCTCTGGCATCAGCGAGCGGGGACCCGTTCTCCCTCTGGCATACAGGGTGCAGCACAAGCAGGACATGCACATTGCACACACTCATGGAACATGGCAGAAATCAGGGCACACATACGGCTGAAGCGTGGAAACAAGCCACACAGGAGAGTGCAATTGTGAGTTACCGTGAACATAGGGGGTTAATCACATCGCATTTATTTGGGTTCTTACTTAATCGGCAGAGTGGCAATGGTGCTATCTAATGAAGAAAATGAAAAATATTCAAAATCGATTTGAATAATTTCATTTTACAATAACAGATAAAAACATCCGTAGATCACCCCTGAATCCTGATCCTCAGGAGCGCCATAACGTTACAGCGCTCTCCCAACACGGGTATGGTCCTTTTACGACCTGACACGACACAGGGCGTCGATCCCAGTTTTTATCCGACCATCAGCTCTTCGTCCATGACCAGCGATCACGGTGGTTGGATGCTATCTCTAAGAGCGAGTGGAGAAGAGAACGGAGAAGGTATTGTCCACTTTGATCGGGACGAATCTGAGCTGGGAGACAGACAGACGGACAAACGGAGCCGACGGATAGATGGACAAACGGACAGACAGACAGACAGACAGACAGACAGACAGACGGAGAGACGGATAGATGGACAGACGGAAGGACGGACAGACAGACAGACAGACAGACAGACAGACAGATAGACAGACAGACAGACAGACAGACAGACAGACAGACAGACAGACAGACAGACAGACAGACAGACAGACAGACAGACAGACAGACAGACAGACAGACAGACAGACGGAGAGACGGATAGATGAACAGACGGAAGGACAGACGGACGGACGGACGTATGGACGGATGGACGGACGGACAGACAGACAGATATCAGATGAAGAGACGGACAGACCGACGGACAGACGGACGAACAGTCAGATAGACGAACGGACAGACGGACAGACGGGTCGCACAGATCATAACACCGACACACTGACATACGGACAGATTGAGCACTGAGCAGGCTATTGTCACCGACGTGTTAATTGTTTAGGGGTGATCGGTTAATTTGAAATTTATTAATTACATTTAAGATTTTTAACCAGTAAAATTCCTGGTTTAACCAGCTACTCCCACTTTACATATCACTTTAAAAATAAAGCGATCCGATGTTATTGTGCGCTGCTCCAGCTTCAGCAAAAGTTTCAGAAAACGATTGATTTCAAGCCAAGGGTCTAGCTTTTAGTTGCCCGGACTGATTCTTGACAGATCTGCTTTTTCAAATGAAAGCATACACCTTGCCTTTAATATTTTGAGCTATTCTTTTTCCGTTTCCGATTTTGAACAGGATTGTTCAATGTTCAAAGCTGCTATCTTAGAGCAAATTTTTTGTTCAAGGTTGATGTATCGAATCGAATTTTCAACTGTTTGTGGCAGGAGTAACACAGCGATCCTGTGACTCCAGCGTCTGTCTGACACCTAGAAACCTGCCCCAGGTGTCCGTCTCCCTGCAGCTATAACGACCACGACGTCTCTGTTGCTATTGGTTTATTCATAAACGCTATCGGTCAGGCGCCGTGGCCCTGAACCGCGGCTCTCTCTGCCGTGAGCATACGTCCCGGCGGGGTCGGGGCGTCCCCTGGTAACAGTATGCACTCGCCGCTGTGAACTCATGTGGCAGAGCATCTACCCTGTGACCTCCAGTAACAATGCACCCTTCCTGTGACCTCTGGGTTACACTGCACCTCCCTGAGAGCTACAAGCAACACTGCACCCTTCCTTCCCTTGTGACCTGCGGGTTACACTGCACCCTCCCTGAGAGCTCCCAGCAACACTGCACCCTCGCTCTCCCCTGTGACCTCCTGTAAGACCCTCAATGGGTCGGTGTGTCTCTCTGGGACCTCCAGTAACACCGCACCTCTCTGTGACCTTCCAGTAACACTGCACCCTCTCTGGGCCAGTGTGTCTCCCTGTGACCACCAGTAAGACTGCACCCTCCCTGTGACCTTCCAGTAACACTGCACCCTCTCTGGGCCGGTGTGACTTCCTGTGACCTCCCGGTAACAATGTAACCTCTATGTGACCTCCGGGTAACACTGCACCCTCCCTGGGCCGCTGTGCCCTCCTGTGACCTCCCGGTAACACTACACCCTTCCTGGGTCGATTTGTCTTCCTGACCTGACCGTCGCCTGAGCTACTGGATCTGGAGGCGGACCTATCCGGTGGGATTGTTCGCCCGACGCCCACTGACCCGACAAAGCAGCGGTGGAGAGCAGAACATAACGGTGGAGACCGGTCGGGTCAATATTGACACCGTGCCAACCACGTGGATCAGAGACCGGAACATTCCCAAACGCGGGCTCGGTGGCCAGGCGTACTATTGAGACAAGACAACGTCGAGACAAAACACGACCGATGACTCGCGGAATGAGCGCGCTACTTCACCTATCACCACGTAAAGGGTATTTGGGGAAATGCCCGACAGCCGCGCTGCTATTTTGTTTGAGATGTACGAAATTCCGATACCACTTAGGACGGTGTAACAGCAAAATATACTCGTAGGAGAATAAGATCCTTGAAAACATGTCGCTGGTGACGAGTGAATGAAGTGTAACACGACTAACAAGAAAACCCCACTTAGAGCGAATACTTACACTCCAATAAAAGTGATAACATCTAAAAGTTACTAGAAAAAGGCTCAGATTGATAGCTCCAGTGTTTTTATATCAGCACTTTGGTTCTTGGATGTTAACCGACGGAGCGATCCTCCGAAATAAAAACTTACTGTCCCCACTAAACGTCATTTCGCTATTTGAACCGAACGACAAGAACACACACCGCGTCGTCAGGTTACCCTTTCTACACACACACCCATTGAGTCGACCCCTGACCCCGTTACTCACCCAGTGGTTAGCCCAGATTCCGGTGACAACGGCAGGTCCAAACGACCTCGCCGGGTTCATCGAGGCACCGGTGCACTTCAGCTGCGAACGGAGAAATGAGCAATAAGTTCAGAGCTAAATGTAACAAAGTATGCGTTAATGTAATACGTACTTTTGTTATAACTTAAGCGTATGATATGACTCGATGACTAAAATTGTGATATGACAGGATATGACTAAAATGATACGACTGTGAAAATGGTTAAGACATACTTAAATAAGAAACTCTTTTGCGTTGAGATTACCCTTATGAAATAAAAACGAGAACATGTTGAACGATGATCCGTACAGCGCTCAAACAAACAATCCTAGGATTATAGAAAAAAATCAACAAAACGCTAAGGGAAAAGAACAAGACAAGAATTTGTTGACGAAAGAGGATTTCGACTAGACTTGAATGATGACTGCGAGCTTTTTTATAATTTAGCCTTCAACTCTTCGCTAGGAAAAAATGTCGGCATTTATCATGCATTGAACTAGTTATAGGTCATAACTAATTTGCGTACAGTAAGTCATTTATAAAATTGGTCACATCTCGTAGAAATGCAAATTTCTACATCACAACGATCCTTTACTGAAATGCATAAACAGCTAGGCTGTGTGATGAACTAGCCTCATACATCAAGTCGCCGACAAAAACACTGAATTCACACTTCACAGCCAAATTCGGTCTGTCTGAGCGACCCCTCCACCACATTTGTTATAACATCACAATAGATAACATTGCAGGACGTAAGATCTGTTTTCCTTAGCTTACAGAAGCATCGTAATGTTTCACATGGATGCGTTGGATGCAGTACTTCAATGCACTAAGTTCAATTCCATTCAATATTGTCAATTGCATTGAAGCTCATGGAAACACACACGAATAAAGTGCTGATCACTGTTCAACCCAACACTACTCGGGAAACTCTAGAACCATGAATAATGCACCATTGAGCCCCAAAATTTACACATGTTACGTCCTCTCATCTATGGATCGCACTGGTGCCCCTAATGAGAAGCACCATGATATAGCAGTATGTTCCCATTAGGCTCTCTCGCGCCTGGGCATATGGTTTGGCAGGAATGTTGCCAGGCGGCAGGTTGTTGAAGTTGTTCCGGGTAGTCGGGCCGTCACCATGTTTCACAATAGCCCCAGGTGACGGCTGTAGTCTATCAGTCATCACAACAGGAGGTCGGTGTGCAAAAATAGCGCCGACTGATTTAACTAAGTGATGGATACTGTCAGGAAGCAGGAGGTCCTTAGTAACTAAATCAACAAAGAAGAGTAGCGCCGGAAAGCATCCTTATAAGCATCAATAGCCGGGGAAAAAACTGAGAACTAATAGGTGAAAACACAAAGGGCCTCATCATTCCCGACGCTGCTCAGATACTTCGCCTGTTGACACACCCTGACGACTGAAACCCTGACAACAGAGACTCTCACGCCTCTGATTTCTGGCAACTGGACACAGCTTCGGGGTAACACGTAGGGACCTTCCCGGGACAGTCAGACCTTCCCGTGACACTCTCTGTTCCTGATACCCTGACACACTGACACTGACACCTCTGACACCCTGACACGCCTGAGACCTCTGACACCCACCGCTCCCACGTGACACGTGGTGACGGCCAGTCCGATGACCCCTGACACTGACACCCCTGACACTGACACCTCTGACACCCCTGACACTGACACCCCTGACACCCTTGACACTCACCGCTCCCACGTGGCACGTGGTGACGGCCAGTCCGATGGCCAGCGGCCCGGCGCCGAGCACGTCTGTCCTCTTCTCGTCACAGACACCGAACACGACGAACACCAGGACGAAGGTGATGAGCACCTCGATGCCGAACCCCTGCGCGGCCGTCAGCTCCGGGTGCACCTGGGTCATGCCCAGAGAGCCCTGGATGCCCTCCGGAGTCAGCGCCTGCGGGGGGAGAGGGAGAGGTCAGATGTGGGACAATGCGCGTGTGAATGCGGTGCAGGTGTAGGGTATAAATTGTTTATCGCGATTATTGACACGATAAGTCGAAGCATGGTATTTTAGGAAGTGCATATTTTGGTCACTTATTTGTATGTAATATTAAATCCTATCTGAAATGATTCTGTGATGATGTGTAACACTTTTGACATGGCACGCATGTGAGAAATATGTTGGACAAACACGTCGGAATGCATGGTTCAACGAGATGCAATGCAAGGGCCGAGGCCATACAACAATAATTGCAACGCATTCATTGGCTATGAAGTGGCATATACCGCAATAGACTTAATCACGAACACTGACATCCGTAACGGACAACTCGACTGCATGTCTTGAATTCCTGTCATTGCAGACTGTGAGCCCAGACAGAACGCATGAGTAAATCAAGGCTTGGTTTATTACCGATGAGGCATGCTGGCTCACGAACACCGGACACGAGACCAGCTGATCTGCCGTATATACGGCTTCTCTGATGACAGTGCGCCTTGACTTAACGGTCACAAGACGTGCCAAGGCATTTGCCAACGGGTTATTGACAAAATTATACCGCTCAAGGCGAGGGGTGTGTACTGCATTAATGATCTGTCACGGATAGGTAACGTAAATCTTGGTACGTCCATGTCTCATCTCATGTCCGTATAAGCCTCGTCAATTCTTGCAAGATTTATGGGGCGAGAAGTTGTGGTCCAAATATATGCAGGTTTTCCACGTCTTAGACAAATTAGAAAAAAACTACTTTCACAAATATGTACCTCTATTGTTTGTGTGAAATAAGGGAAATTAAAATTACGAAAAAACGAGAGTGCAAGAAAGAGACTTAAGTTCAATGTTACAGGTATTAAATATACATCCGCGATTCAAGGAGACATGACATTGTTACATATTTCACATAATTACGAAAAATGAGAGTGAAAGAAAGAGACTAAGTTCAATGTTTAACCATTAAATATACATCCGTGATTCAAGGAGACATGGCATTGTTACATATTTTACACAAGTGCTCACGCACGTCTATAATCAGCCCTCAGTTACAGTCGTGTACCCGCGTGCTCGCCTCGTGCCAGTCGGCGTGTCACTACCACATCAACTATTCATGTTCTCTGCGCTGATCCATATACATGGAGTCCCCGAAGGACAATACTCCCAACTGGTCCTGCAGGGTGTGACCTCGGCAGCACCGCGACAGGACAGAGATACGCAGAGTGGTGGCCTCCCAAACCCGGCCTCCATCCGGCGCAGGTGGCCTGGGCGGGTCGGCGGCGCCCCTCAGCTGAGCTCGCGTGTCCGCCGCGCGGGCCTCTCACCACGTACGCAGGTATATCGATGTCAGAGACGATTCCCGGATGAAAAGTCAAAACGTTAAAAGTAAACGGATAAAAAGTCAAAGGACATTAAGTCAACAGACAGAAAGTCAACATCGCAAGAAGTCAAAGGACAAAATGTCAAATGAACAAAAAGTCAACCTGCCAAAAAGTCAACACGCCAGAAGTCAACAAGCTAAAAGTCAACACGCAAGAAGTCAAAAAACATAATGTCAAAGAGACAAAAAGCCGACATGTCAAAAAGTCAACGCGCTAAAAGTCAACACGCTAAAAGTCAACACGCATAAAGTCAACACGCAAAATGTCAAAGCGCAAAAAGTCAACACGCAAAAAGTCAAGACGCTAAAAGTCAACACGCCTAAAAGTCAACACGCTAAAAGTCAACACGCGAAAGGTCAACATGCTAAAAGTCAACACGCTAAAAGTCAACATGCTTAAAAGTCAACACGCTAAAAGTCAACACACAAAAAGGCAACAAGCAAATAGTTAATAGGTGCGCGAAAAGTTGATGCGCGAAATGTAGTCAACAGCAAAAAGTAGTCTTTAACAGCAGTCGTTAGCTAAGTCGGTACAAGTACGCCGCAGCCCGCGTCTCCGGTCGGCGACTGACCCGCGCCGGGCCACCTGATCCCCGGCCGCCGCCCGCTGGGCGCCGGCTGCACCGCATAGCGCGTCTCGGCGCGTCCCCGTGCGTGCCCCGACACTACCGATAAGAACGCTCCTACCTATTTTTACTTTGCTTTAAAAAGCATAATGGGAATGTGAACTTATTACGAGCGAGCGAGCGCAGCGAGCGAAGCGAGTCTTTTCAATATAACGGAAAAATCTCAGTATGAGCGGCCCGGCCCGGCCCGGCCCGGCCTGTAACGCTTTTGAGAGGCTTATATCTCAGCAACCGCTGGACCGATTGGCCTGCGGTCTTTTTTGTTGGGTAGCCCCATCCCTTCTACCCCGTAATTGACTACTTGTGATGCATCTAAGTCACCGTCGTGGCACGTGCCACGTGAAAAGTCAAGGGTGTTCAAGCAGTTTTGCAAAAGTAGTGATTTTGAGAGGCCCATATCTCAGTAGCGGCTTGAGCAATTGTCTTGCGGTAATTTTTATAGGGTAGCTGCATCCTTTCTACCAAAGGACGGATACTCTTGATGCATGTGGGTCAACCCCAGTGCACGTGCAAAATACAACAATAAGAGGTGTCAAATTTGTTCCCATTTCAGTAACTCGGTAATTACTGGGGCGATTTTGCTGAAACTTGGCATACAGGTAGACACCCACCAGGCAATGCATTCCCATGTGTTGCGGTTAGGGTGCTACTGCACGTGCGCACGTGCAGGGGGCGTTTCCAGATCTCGAGAACGGCTGCGCCGATTGCGCTCAAATTTGGTACACGGTTGGGGACCGGTTAGTAGGGTGCCGTGCAAAAGTCATTTTGGACCCCGTTTGCACGTGCGCACGTGCAGAATGCCGCTTCCAGATCTCAGGAACGGCTGGGCCGATTGCGTTCAAATTTGGCACACCGCTAGCGACCGGTTAGAAGGGTGCTTTGCACAAGCCCGTTGGAAGTACCCTCTCGCCCTTCCGCACGTGCAGGGCTCACTATCTCGCTCGCTCATTCTTCGCCCAAAAGGCGTTTTACTGGTCTATATAAAGTTGGCGTACTGTGCCTGCTGGTGGCGGGGGGGGGGGGGGGGCAGTTCCGATAAGGAGACGTAGGACGGAGGCGAAGATGAAGGAAAGGGACAGTAACTGGGGTGGCCACAATGCGCTATACTTGTCACCTCTCCTTGGATGTCACAGCTCCGAGGTCCTAAAAAAATTGTGTTTTTAGCAATCGCATCTCGATAATTGACCTATACATTTCGATGAAAATTGGTCACCTTAATTGTATGCAGTCCGTGAATATTAACATGGTGTTGTCTGTTGATGCTGATATGAGCGTTCCTTTCAAGGCAGGACAATCCGACAATCACACAATTGCCTCTCGTTCCAACTTTCACCTATCTAAAAGAAACGACGCGCTTTACTATTGTACCAATTGTACACCATACAATACGCTTGAACTATAATAAAAGTGTGAAATCGCTCATAGAACCCGTGACGGAATCAATTGATGAGAAACGTCTCCCTACACAATATAGGAAATTTGAACAAGCGAACCTTTCGTATCGATAACATTCCGGGTTACTATATTTGTTGAAATAATTCCAGTAAACTGCGCCTGGGACAGCCAGTTGTCTCGAAGGATCATGTAACGCTGCCTCATGACAACCTTACGATGCGAGCGAGCTCCCACCCAGCACGTAAGTGTCAACGGATGTGTGTCAGATTTCAGCCAAGCATGCCCGTGTGACCAGCTGAGTCGCGGTTGCGGGCCATGGGAATCCCATCAGTCGCGCAATGGAGGCAGTCTCGCTTCAATGTCCAATGATGCAGGTTATATTGTGCAGCATCCTGCTTAATTGTGTACAGCTGTTTGTAAATGTTATCTCATGTATGTAATGACTGATGATCCAGGTGTCATTGACTTTGTCTCTTTGACTTGGCCTTTTGAGTTTTTGGATTTTGGCTTTTTTCCTTTGGATTTTTTCGTAATTTGACTTTATGTCCTGTTGACTTTTCGTCTTTTGACCTTTGTCTTCTTCACTTTTTGTCCTTTTGACTTTTGTTCCTTTGATTTTTTGTCCTTTTGACTTTTTGGACTTTGACTATATGTCTTTTTGACTTTTTGACCTTTTGACTTTTTATTTTGACTTCATGCCCGGTTGACTTGTTGTTTTTTGACTTTTTGTCCTTTTGACTTTCTGTCCTTTTGGTTTTTTGGATTTTGACTTTATGTCCTGTTCACTTTTTGTCTTTCGACTTTTGTCCTTTTTACTTTTTGGCAATTTGACTTTTTGCCGTTTTTACTTTTTATCTTTTGACCTTATGTCCATTTGACTTTTTGTCTTTTGACTTCTATGCTAGTTGACTTTTTGTTCATTGACTTTTTGGCAATTTCACTTTTTATCTTTTGACGTTTTATCCTTTTTGACTTTTTGCCTTTTGACTTTCCTCTTTGTTGACCTTTTACCTGTTGACTTTTAAGATTTTTGACTTCTTGCTTTTGACGTAATGTCTGTTGTCTAATCATCCTTTTACCTTTTATCATTTGACTTTTTGTCCGGAACCCGTCAGAGACACGTCCTTACCGGCTGCAGGATGACCCGCTGCGGCCGGACCCGACACCGGTAAAGGCACGCGCAAGACGGACAGGTGAGATGGTCCTTCAGCGGGCGATGGTGAAACCGTGCGAACACGAGGTGTTGAATAGATCGGCCTCGAAAGGATGGATCACTTCGCACTGCGTTCGCTCGTTTGCACCAGTTTCTTCGCTGCACGTCACGAGGTTTCACAGGACAGACGAACAGGTGGCAGAAAACTAAGTAAGGTCATTGGGTCCCGTGTCCACTATGCGACGCAGACACGAGTGATAGAATGCATCTTTGATTGATTATGCATTCAGCTTAGACCCATATTACATAATGCATCTGACAATGTTTTTCTTCCCACTGTGGCTGAAAAGGTGACAAGGTGCACACTGCACACTCGCATGCTTTCTCTTCCTCCACTTGACATTTGTTCTGGGTCGCGCTTTCCAGCTGGAATTTGAAACCTTTGATTCTTTTAGTTTAAGCGCTGCCCAGGTTCTCCTTTTTACGAAATAGCCGCCAAGCCAAGATGGTCCAAGCAGTAAGTACGAGCTTCTCTGATTTCTCTCAATCTCTCTCAATCCCACTTAAGTAGGGCATTTCTTCGAAGCATTTGCTTAGCATTTGTTTTTGTCAATTAGCAAAGATATGAAAGGAATATCTTATCACGAGGAGCGTAATTTCAAACATTATTTGTATCGCTAGGTTTGACATGGTGATGTCACAAGACAAAACGCTGTGCCTTATCAAAAAGGCCATCTTCACTTCACTGAATTTATTACAGTCACATCGCTTCGCTGTGAACTCTCCATGCTCCCACCGCCACCGTCGCCAGTGGTGAGGGTTAGCGGAACTGGCGGCGGCGGTCTTCCCCACCGTCAACCACCAAACCTCCTGTTTGTCTCTCCCGATCGAGCCACGCGCCACGCGACGGGTGCGTGACACCGCGTCCATTAGGAGACGCTGTCTCCCGGTAGGTGATCCCACTATGGTGATCGGAAGAACATCCCCCTCCACCCAAGGACGGCAGCGGCTGAAGGGCCGGCCCTCGACCGGCCCACACCCGGCCGGTCATGTCGCATCAGATTCATACTCGTGTCCAGCTCGGTGACAGATGATGACCAAAGGCCCCGCGGAGTCTTCTAGATGTTGGGCCGGTAAAACTCGGAGAGCCTCTCTCAGAAGTTCGGTTACGTAAAAAAAGATCGGAAGGAGATCCTCTGTGTGCTGCGTTTGTATGTAAATACGTCCGCTCAGGCGTTCCACGTGCGATCGGTAGCTATTCAAGAGACCACGCAACACTTCACGCAGACTGAAAGCTTCGCACAGTGTGGTCGTATCTTGCGCAATTATTGGTGTTGGTGGGCTCTCACCTTTCTTATTTGCAATGCATGCCGGTTGCCGATTGTCAGTGCTACTATTATTCCTGGACGGATGAGCGATTCGCTCGTGGTTGATTTCCGACGGGTGCATTTCTCAATCCTCGCAAATGGTGTTCGGGATAATCGAGAATGCAGACACCGTGATAACGTTCACCGCTTCTCAAGAAGTGTGAATGGGTCATAGCACTACCACCAAAAAGCATTACATTCTATTCTGCTATGCAGAGTCGCGTTCTGTTTCATGCACCTTACACAGGTTATATTTAAAGGGAGATAATGAGCTTTCTTTTTTCTTAAATAAAAATTACTCGACATCTATACTATTTCTACTGTAGTTTCTATAAAATATGAAAATTTCCTAGCACATTTTCGTATGTGAAAAAGGTTTTTATTTTTGCAAAAAAGAAGCAGTACTTGCAGTACTTGTAACACCCACCGAAATGCGTTGTCCTTCTCTATAAAAAAGTCGCAGTATATGGCGCTTTTGTTTCAAACAGCGACGCTTGGGTTTTTGTTTATGTTATCGCCTTGTCGTTGCTTGGTTGTAAGGATTCTAATTTGAATTAGAGGTAATTCGGTTTAGAATTAATTAGATTCTAATTCGGGGGTACATATTGCCTACTCTTCTTTGTTTCGGCATGCGGCATGCGGCACAAATGAACGGCATGCGCCAGAAACGCAGCCAAATCTTGCGATTGCGACTACGAAATTCATTATTTTGGCGTCAGAGCCTGAAGCGAAAAATACAAGCATATTTATTTCAAAAAGACTTCAGGTTTGTCGAACGATGTTATGAGAATTTTGATAATAGTACTGCATAAGTTTTTCAGTGATGCCGCAAAAGTGTTGTATCTATCTTCTTTTATTGTGCAGTCGGCGGGACCGATTCAAAATTGAGTCGTTGCTACTAAAATAGCAGCATATGGCGTCAGATGATGAACAGGAAAAATAGTTGCGTAAATTTAGACAAAAACCACCCCCAAACCATGAATATCTTTTGAAGGCACTATAGACGACCATTAATTAAGATGTGATGAAGATCAAATGTAAGGAATACGCTCATTTTACAAAATTACATGCAAGTACCAAAAAGTGATGTACTTATTCAACGGTCATTTTCAGCGCTCCCCGCTAACGTGACTTCAAGTTGAGATATTTGCGGCAAGGTACCGAATTGAGCAAAATGGTTTTAATTTACATTATAACTTGTTGTGTTTTGTCAGAAAATGGTCCTAACTCAGATTTTGTGGAAAAAGGTCATTATCTCCCTTTAAGTAATAACTTAGCTACGCACGTGATTCTGATCTGACAAATATGACCGCCATTTAAAGATATCACTAATAAACAGTGATATCTTCACTAATTCACTATTAGTGATCACTAATAATCACTAATATCACTAAAATGCTAATAAACAGATGACAGAGACGTTCGATGTTAACATACTCCCCCTACGACGTGTTGACCAAGAAAGATCGTCGTGCAAAGGTTGAGTAACTCATGATATGCTGCTTCAAATCCGTGCATCATTACATAACGTTGTTTTAACTTGCAAATAATGTCATGCGTGGTGTTTGGGGCAATGCGCAGCAGCTGTTTCGTAGCTACATACCTACATACACCCAGTTTTAGTCCACTGAATCATCTGAGTTTGATCTTTGTGTTTGTGTTTGAGTGTTTGAGTACGACTATAATTTGGCTTGATTTCTAACAGTAGTGGACAGCAATGTGTTCGCAGTTCGCGTCATAATTGAGTTGTTGGAGCTGTCACAGCTCACAGTAATTGGTATAACGACGCGACTTTTGCACATTTTTCGTTTGGTGCAAACTACGTCGGCACTTCCGATAATTTCTGAAAATACTTATTATGCGGTGTGCACTATTATTTCCCGATGCCCATATCTCCCTCGGGCAGCAGCCCCACCGTATCCTTCCTTACCTTCAGCAGCGCCGATCCGGCGGTGCCTCCCAGGCACTGCATCACGATGTAGCAGACGGCACGGAACAGCGGGATGTTACGCGTCACAAACATGGCCACCGTCACGGCAGGGTTGATGTGACACCCGCTGATGTGACCGATACTCTGAAAAAACGACACAAAACGTTATAGCATAAGATAAACAGCTGCTAAATGTAACATAATTATATAAAGTTATAAAGTTTATAAAGTTTAACCTGTTTATAACGTTTATAAAGTTTAAAACCCTAGTTTTAGTTTACCCTAGTTTAATTTAGTTTAAAACCCTGTTTATAAAGTTTAACTTGCTGTAGAGCCTGGTTTGAGTTTTTCAATAATGTGATACATATTTATACAATCAATGTCATAATTCAAATTGTAGTTACATCTGCAAAGTTTCCGTCTTTTGTTGATGCTTTCCACTGGAAAATATGACTTCACATTCATGAAAATGTTTAATTTCATGCATCAATATGCTTAATGTTTTTTTTTTTTCTTTGACCTTAACTTGTTCGGTATTGCTATTTTTCATGGTTCTACATAGCAAGAAGTTGGCGTTGCTTGGGTGTTTCAATAATCTAAAAATGATATCAGCACTCAGTAGTAGGTGCTATCGCTTTAGTTCAGCTAGTGTAAATATTAAATAACCTACTTACGAAGAAATATACACGAAAAGTATTTCGAACTTTCCATAATCATTCCTATCCGAAAGAGACTATAATTTCAGCCAATCAGTTGTCGAAGACACTGAATCAAGGTGATCTCATCCGTGCCGAAACATCTTTCATTCATTCAGAGGCGAGTTAAGCTGTGCGTGATTAAATGCGAAATAATCTCAGGCACGCGTACGGTGTTTTGAACCATCCAGTCCCCGCTATTCACCACGGATCAAAACACAAGATCTGGAGATGATTCTTGTCAGAAATCGTTACGTCATTAGTTCCGCTGAGCTAAATCTCTGAGCCGACGCATCATTTTCCGATTACGTTTTTGATAAGCGGAGAAAAGAAGCCAGGATAAATGCCGGAAGAAGAGTCTTTCAAAATTGAGAATTAAGTAATCGCTAGCAGACTTGTAAGCGATTCAAAAAAATTCAATCAATTCAATCACGACTCACTTGATGAAATGACCGATTCAATCATAACTCAATCAAACAGACTGATTTTCCAAGCGATTCAATCACGACTCATGGACCCTGTGATTCAACTCAATCACGACTCATCCCATTATCCGTGATTCAGGGAATGACTCAACTCATGATTTAACTCAACGCGATTCAATCAAGATGTTATCCAAAATTTATACATATGTGATATCAATTTAAGTCATTTTTGGAAACTGATACCAAACAGATGCCAACCAGATATACTAAAAAATACCAAAAAATCATAGAAAAGTACTAAATCTATACTGAACTCAACAAAGTTGTAGATATTTACATAAATACTGTGTAAAGATGATAATTTAAGTACAGAAAAGACAAGCTCTGTTACAAATGAAGCTACCAGAGGACTTATAAAAATTCATTTATCTGCTTGGCGCTTGCAAAAAGAAACATGCAAAATTGCACAGGACACTGCCACATATTATCAGCATCATCGAAAAGGAACAAAATTTTCAAATCAATTGTGATACCCAAGCTTAAATAGCTGGTGATCAGCCATGCAAAAAAAAAAAATGATTGATACTTTATGAGGCAGTGGTAAAGCCAGTAAAGCATTACACAGGACTAGACATTTTCGGCGTGCTACAAGTTTTCTTTACTATCAAGAATACGGAATATCGACACATACGAAGTTATTCAATAGTTACATAATATAAACTGAATGCTCTCATGATAAAACTACCTCAACCGTCCATATTTTCAATGACAAAATATTAAATAACAATTCCAAGCCCGCCCCACGAGACACCAAACTTCATACGCGGCGGAGCTGAGTTGCAAGTTGTAAAGGCCTGGCTACCAGGACGCGTTTTCTGCGTGCGTTTTTTGCTTTTGCGAGTTTGCGTGATTTGCATAATATACGGTTCTAGAAAGGAACGATAGAATGTTTTCTTTTTGTTATATTTTTATAAAAAAAAAAATTAATTATTAAATTATCATAAAAGGTTTTATTAACGTTTATATAATATACGCAAAACATGCAAGTTCGCAAAAAAACGCACGCAGAACACGCATAGTGTAGCCAGGTCTTTAACACTGAAGTACGCATGCGCTAAGTGCGCAGCCATCTTTAATTTAGCAGCAGAACCATGGATTACTTAACTATATAAAATACATAGTTTATATTTTTAGATTCAATTAAGCATATTTATGCATGCGTGTAAAACAGTTTTTTATCCTGTCCAATTCATTAAAGAAAAAATATCCAACAGTAGAAATCTATATGTATTTAGCCCAGCACTAGGTAGTTGCAGCGTATATTGACGCAGCTGCGACATAAAAGCGTATTTTGCGTGGTTTGCATGTGGCAAATATTGCGGGCAGTCTGGCAAATCTCTAATCCGAATTTACCATCGAATGCAAAACTGTTAGCGGTCCTCAAAACTAAAAGGTGAAGAACACCAAACGGATCAAAGATTGTTTGTTGAGCTAAGAAAACAATAGTTTTCGGGTGATGGTGGAGGTGATGGGAAGGTGGTTGTTTTTTAATACCTGGTAGGGTATGTATCTACTTTTTGCCATTGTATCTTTACTTTTGTGTAATTGGGAGCCACCACGGCAATATGTGACAGATCCATCAACGATCATAAGCCAAGGTATTCCAATTATTTACGTTGATAGGTAAACGCTGATTCTGCTGGGAAATGTAAAGTGAGTGAGAAGACCATGGGTTAAATCAAGCAATTTATGACCCTTAGCCCAAAATCAAATCAGTAACTAAGGTTACCAAATTATAATGTAAACATGCATTGTGTATTCATCAATATGTTTTGCTTACTCACAAATGTCCTGATGAAACAGGGTATTGAAAATATAAAGATTAACATGATATCTAAAACATGTGTGTTGAGCAATGTGCGCCTGCTTACTGCTACTGTTAACTTGATTACTATACTGATTTTAGGGCACTGGAAAGAAACATTACATTCATTTTTTCATCTACATGCACTGACATTTATGTATAATTTGTGTTTACAGTTTGATTAAAAACTTAAAACAAAATTTTTATGTTTTTTCCAATAATAATGGCTGTGCGCATTTATAATACTGACAAAATACCTGAAAAATTTGCAGTGCATTGTGTGTGACTATGCTGCAAATGCCACATATATTTCTACATAATATAGTACTAAATATGGTCATAACTTCAATTTCCAGCACATGGTGATTGAATCATTTTGTTAATTCAATCAACTTGAATCGATGAGTTGCCGACTCAATCACTTGCAGTTGCCGTGTGTGACCGATTCAATCAGGATTCATATGGTGACAAGAGGTGATTCAACCGACTCAATCACAGTGAGTCGGCATTTTCAAGCGATTCATGAGAATCGATTCAATCAGAGTTGAATCGCTTACAAGTCTGATCGCTAGTCAACACGGTGCTAGACGGACAACTATTCTCACAGGCAATGAAGATCCGTACAAATATGTTCAATTCATACCTAGGCATAAATTTACCTTATACCTGCCGGTATTTATCTGTTCCATCACATTTTGGTAGATAGTTTAACATGACCTTAACATTTTAACATGACATTTAACAGGATAACCACCCACTATCCCTGACCACGACACCACCCACAGTGTCCTTGTAGTGTCCCCGCCCAGAATATCCCTTGTCAAAGAACCCTCGTCCCTCACCCTTTCCCTGGTCATCGACCCACATCCAGTGACACCTATCCCAGTCACCAAAACCAAGATCCAGTCTCTGAACCCTGACCGGTGTCCGTTTTCTAACCCCTGATAAGGATTCTGGCTCTGTCTCTGACCCCTGCTCCCACTCTATGGCACCCCTTCTCCAATATCTGACCCCTCTCTGACCTTATTTCCATTCTCTGACCTCTGATCCGTCCTCTGACTTTTGACCTGTTCTCTGACCCTTCTTTCCCGCTCACTGATCCTTGCCCTCTGACATCTGACCCCGCCCTCACCTGTGCCATGGTGGCCACTGTGATGCCGAAGCCGATGGCGATCTGCACCATGGACGGCGCGTAGCCCTCGTCCTGCCAGCCGATGGTAGTCAGACAGCCAAGGAACACCAGGAACAGCGTGCCCACGAACTCTGCCAGCAGCGCCTTCCACAGGTCCTTGTTGGCGATGACCTCCTGTAGGCCCAGAGCCTCACGCGCGGTACTCCAGGCGGGCATGGTTGCAGAATGGAGAAAACAGTGGAGGTTTTTGAGATGACGTAGAAGATGAGTGAAGAGTGTTTCGGATTTGGACGGATACTCTTTAGGAGATAATCCGCTGAAGTTTGTCTCTTGTGCTGGATAGGTAAGCTGGTTCGGATCGGTGAGAATCTGTAGATGTTCAGTGTTCTGGAGAAGTGCGTCTGCCACAACCTGCTGACAGTCACTGTGCGAACGGTGTGAACCGACCGCTGGAGGATGGTGCGAAGGAGGCGGCCCGTAGAGCTGAACTGGTCTGTCCTGGCCGCGGCGCGCCCGGGTACACCTCGCCTCTCCGCACTGGTCACCTGTCCGTGACGTCATAGTGACGTCACAGCTCTCCGAGGTGCATCAGTGGCGTACAACGGTAGGGATGTATAATGGAGAGATGGTATTCAAATGCTTGACGCAGATGCACTTCATAGGAAGCATGCGTACTCGATGTGAGGGGACATCAAATGCGTCATGGATCATAGCAAAAGGTGCGCTGAATGAAAGTACTATCCCGTATTTCATTAAACGCGTTACTACTGAATATCTCGTACGCAGCAGAAGTTCGTAAAGTTACGTTTAGTTCGCTTACCAAATACTAACCCTTTCGAAAAAGGAAAAGCCTGACTTATTTAGGCACACAACAGCATGGTCTTGCAAGTTGCAATAGCCTCGAGTTATCGAATACACCTGTTACGTTTTCTCTACCTACTCGTATATCACGCGCCTCGCTGAAACTCCTGGACGTCCTGCTAGGGGGGGGGGGGGCTAACAGTGGCCCCGTTTACATAGGGCTCGTTGCCAGATAGTTTAATTCCGATACCGGGACATTTATTCCACTAACGAGACATTTCAGGCACATTCCGCTAGTTCTGAGACCTATTAGGTCGTCAGAACTAACGGAATGTGCCTGAAATGTCTCGTTAGTGGAATAAATGTATCGGTATCGGAATTCCACTATCTGGCAACTAGCCCTATGTAAACGGTAACACCCACTCCTTCCAATTGGGCTTCAGGACCACGTAACGACACGCGGCAGGGGGTTTCCAAAGAACGTAAGAAGATAATGAGGAAAATACTTCAGTCATTTATTAGGTGAGGTCAATGGTCAAGGTCACCATTGGCCTGAATTACCTCATAGTGTTCATCCGCCACGATGGATTTATTTATATCAATCGGTTTGGTCCTTCTGGCCGTATAGGTCGTCAGAACCAGCAGAATGTGCCTGAAATGTCTCGTTAGTGGAATAAATGTCTTGGTATCGGAATTCCACTATCTGGCAACTAGCCCTATGTAAACGCGGCTATTGATCATCAATGGGCAAAGTTACCCTATTTCGACAACTTTCGACAAGTCGGCGCATAACTCGGGAACGAAGAGAGATAAAGTTCCGCGGGAAGGTACTTAATAAGGGGCGCGTAGGTACTTAATAGTTCTTTTACCTCTCTTTCCGATTGATGGTTTCATATTTGACCTCAGATCAACGCTTAAGCCTGCATGGGGGTAAAACCTGCCATCTTTTTGGGGAAATTGATTTTTTGCAATACCTTTTGACCTAACAATTCACATGAATTGTTTTTACCGCTATCGTGTTTCTCTAATCGACGTTCCTCGAATGATATAAGTTAACATTAAAAGGTCAGCTTTAAAATCTGACTTAAGGGCAATGTGTCGACCTGACGACCTAGCACGCACGCGATAAAGTACGTAATTGGAAAAAAAAACTTCACATCGCTAAAGAAACAATTTACCAACCTAGCCTGACCTGACCTGACCTAACCTGACCTAACCCAACCATATTCAGCATAACCTAAACCAACCTATCATAGGCAGCCCATCATAATCAAACCTGACCTTAAGTTTTGTCTTTTTGTACGTAATGCCCTACGACCACTTAAGATAGGTCCTACGGTACATTTGCTGACGTTAACTTGACACGAATCTGTGCAGAGGCGGATCCAGCTCAGAGTTTTGGGAGGGGGGGGGGGGGCAAACCATAACAATTTATCGATTCTTTCCATGCATCGTCCATAGGCGTAATGTTAAAATTATGCCGTTTGGGGGGGGGGCAAACGCCCATTTTGCCCCCCCCCCCTGGATCCGCCACTGAATCTGTGTGATTGAAGATTCGTCCGCACCCCATCACCAGCACGTAACCCTTGTGTGCTGCCATCTGGCACTGGAGCTCCGCGCGTCGTGTCCCCCTGCCGGCCAAACCAGGCACCCCGGCTCGTCGACAGAGATGGCCTGGATCGGGGTTGAGTCGATAATTCCTTATAACCCGTGTATCAGACGTGGACCTGAGGCCAGCCGTAGCCGTCTGATATTTCAGACAGGTAGGCTTCAATTATCTGTGTTTTTCTAGTTATGCCTACATTGTACCAGGAAGTTACATTGACTCTCAATATTTGACAGTCAATGTAATCGTCGTCGCATCGTAATGACATGACCACTTATTTCAATGTTTTAATATAAAATAATTTCTGATATTTGAAAATGAGGCATGTAAGCATCTGTGCAGGCCAAACTGACAACTTTAAAGAAACTCCCTGAAACTAATTCGACCAAATTTGTACCAAATCTGAAACCAATCTGCACTAAATGTGTCCAGACGGCCGTCGTGAAAACGGCTGTTGGGTATCACCGGCTTCTTCTCATCACGAGCAGAATGCTCGCATTATGCGTAACTCTGCATATCTATCCCGATCAGTGAACGAGCGGCTGGGAGAGTGCCTTACGGATCCCTCTTATGTGTAAACGTTAGACGCTAAAAAAGGTTATCCCCTCGCCGGCCGAGGAGGGAGGGGTGCCGCCCCCCATAGGGTTTTTTTCGCGATAGCTCCGAACACGCCGGCGATGGAGAGCTGAAGCTTGGCACACCTAACCTTTGATTCAAGCCGCCGAATCTTTTGACACCAACCGCATTTTCGGGTCAGGTCAGGTCACTGACATATGACGTCATAAGTGAACCTCTGCACGGTCTTCAGATATCGCAAATTCGCAACGTCCTCACTGCCAGAGGAGCTTCAGGGAGATGAAACTTACAGGTCCTAAGTAGTATCCATTAGGAGACTCATAACTTGTATACCTCAGATTTTTCCTAAAGGTCATATGACTTATGAGATCAGGTCATTTTCGTCACCTCACCATTACCTATACCTAAGTCAATGGGGAAAAATGAAAACTGCTATTTTGGCGCCGGGAACAATCTCAAGACATCTCAACTACACGGAATCGTGATTTTATGCAATCCTTGCAAGTGTCGATGCTTCACATTTGCATTGTTGACCTTGGGTGACGTCATTTATGACGTTACTAGCCACTAGGGCCATAAGAGTTTTCAGTTAATAACTCCTGATCAAATTAAGCTGGCGAGTCGAAAAAGCCACCAATGAACTGGGGAAGGCCTGACAAATCGAATGATATGCGACATGACCTCCTTCGACCACGTTCGTGACCTGGGGGCTCTGACCTGACCGTGACCCGAGGTCAACACCTAAAGTTAATCTCACCCAAACAAAAAGTATACCATTCGACGCGTCTGAGCAAGGCAAACACGATGCTGTCAAAATCGCGGCTCTGCGATCATTCTTCATGCGCAGTTATTCGCCAAAAGCCGAACCCGTACCTTGGGCCACTTGACCTGACCACAGAGGTCACCGGTTGACCTGAGACCTTAAAATCGGGTATCAATCGCTGCGTCTCGTAACGACGCACACTCTCGTTTTTTCCGCGACGCTCTGGCTCCATTAGGGGCGAAACGGCGAAGGGGGTCGTACCGCCACCCCCCCCCCCCTCGGGCGGCGCGTATGTAGAAAACCAATAGGTCCGGCGAGGGTTAAAATATTTTTAGATATATAGTTACAGTTGAATATATTACAGGCAAATCAGTTAAATGATGCAGGTATGCTTTGTTCAAGCGGAGAGAAAAAATGAATTATTGAATTGACGACACTGTAGCACGATAAGTGAAAACAGCAACCTGAGCAGTGTGCAGTGCTTATCTCCACCTCGACAATATCGCTCATTGGAGATATTGCTTGCTTGATCGTTTGCTTGTTTTGGTGGGAGCAAGCTAATTCGACCTGAAAAGGGCATTACAGAGCCATGGGATGATCAGATGGGGACGGGCTGCAGAATTAGACATTGGACTGTGCGGACCACCGACAGTGCGCCGCAGAGTATTTGAGGTATCCAACACAGGTCCGTCATATGGATTTTTTTTTCGTAAGTTGTCACATTCAGTAAGTTCCCCTTTGCCCTTGAGCCTGGTTGATAGTTTTGTTTAACGTTTCGTGGGAGTGCAGATTAGTGCTGTTGTTTTCAGATAAATATCGAAGCAAATGCAAATATCAGCCAAAAACATTGGATTTACCAACAACTGCATGACCTTGGCGAGTATAGGGTTAAAATCAATGTTTTGACAACTTCAGAAAATCAAAGGTCTCAGTTAGGGTTCCTAACAACAAATAAATAAATACATATTTAATAATTTTGACCTGAATTATCAAATGTGTGCATACCAAATCGAAAATGCAAAATCAAAAGTTGTGGTTTAACCGTATTAGTGACAGGGGGGTTGTTTTCATCAACCCCTCAGGTTTTTCGGGAATATCTCCGAAACCGCTGAAGCTACGATGCTGAAATTTTCTGACTTTTCCTAAAACTAAATTGGGCACATTCCCTGAAAACTTCAAATTCATAACTTTACCAGGGACGGCTCCAGAGCACTGGGAATTGGGGGGTCCTATTCGTGAAGCGAGTCATTTGGGCGAAGATCACGATGCTGATGTATTATAACTGTATGCACCAGTTTTACGAACAGTGAATGAAAGGTATCATGTGATAACATATATACAAAGTTATTGTGCATCCTCTTTTGATACGTTTTTGCTACAATAGGCGGATCCAGGCGTCCAAAAAGGGGGGTTATGTTTTACCTCCCAACATAGGTGCCCTGACACCGCCTATGCATGACCAATACAATTGTAGTCGTTCTCTCATAAGAAAATTGTAACATAACGAGACCGTTACCACCCTTTTTAGAAACAGTACCAACAAAAACCTTATTTACTATACTTTTTGTGTACACCCAATCTCAATGATCTGTATCCGCCTATGATTTTTGAAAATGCATATTTTTAGGATCCATGTGAATTCCTGGTTCATTCTCTATCGATCGGCAAAAGTTGCGTTAAGATTGGTTCAGAATTCAGAAACCTGTCCGTGATTAACAGTCTAAAATGTATCTGCAATTTGCCCGTTTTTACCCCCTCTACCCCCCTA